TGTAACAGTGAGTTTCTATTGATCTCTAAGATTTTACAGTATTTCCCTTTTAGTTGGAAATTTTTCTGTCATAAATAAACATAACAAAATTAACTCTTTTAACCGTTTTAAGTGTACAATTCTGTAGCATTAAATAAATTTGCATTATTGTGCAATCATCAGATAAATCCATTCCATATGTGTTACATTTTCCCCCAACACAAACTAAGTAGCCATTATACGATAATTCTCCACCCTCCATTCCCCACCATCATTCTGCAGTCTATTTCTATGAATTTGGCTCTTAGAACACAATGTGAGGGAAGTCAAGGGAAGTTGAGGGCCGTGATGCAATGCACAAGTCCCAGTACTCAGGAAACCGCGGTGGGAAGACCATTTGAGCACTCTAATTCAAGAGCAGTGTGGGTAACTAAGCCCAGGGCATGAAATTCTTTGTGTCTTCTGCAATTTCATCTAGAACAATTTGTGCTTTTCACTATGTAGATTCTTCTCCTTCTTGTGACGTATATTCCCAAGTAGTGTATTCTTTTGTTAAAACTCTAAGTGGGATTGATCTTTTCAACTTCCTACACAGGTTATTTATTGGGTGTAAGACATGAAACTAATTATAGAAATATTAGAAATTATTTCTACACGTTGATTTAACATGATAAGCAATACTGGATAGATTGTGTATGTCATTATTTTGTTGGATATTTGAAGTTTTCAATGTATAAGATCATGCCCTCTGTGAACGGAGATAATCTTACTCTTCTTTTCCCATTTTGGTGCCTTCTACTCGTTTCTTACCTAATTATTTTGGACAATACTGCCAGGACTACACTTAACAACAGTATCCGGGGGCTGGAGAGATGGCTCAGCGGTTAAGAGCACTGACTGCTCTTACAGAGGACCTGGGTACAATTCCCAGCACCCACATGGCAGCTACGAACCTTAACTCCAGTTCCAGAGGAATCTGAAGCCCTCTCCTGACCTCCATGGCAATGCATGACACAGGTGCACTCACATACATGCAGGCAATACACTCATACACATAAAATAAAAATAATAAATTAAATTAAATTAAAAAACATCAGTGTCCAAAGTGGGCACCCTGTCCTGTTCTCTGATCTTAGGGGAAATTTTTTCTAACTTTTACCATTGAGTGTAACATTAGTGTGGATTTTTGTGGATTTTTGCATTGAGATCTATTTCTAGTTCATTGGATGCTATTTTTAAAGCATTAATATTTTCATATACTGAATATTATGATTTTATCATCTCTCTGATTATAAGATCAATATTAGCTTTGGTTTCAGATGGCTCTCGTGACTTGACTATGCTGTTTATCTCAGCTTCCTGAGACACCCGCTACTAAATCTCCACCACCCCTCACCCCCCCATTCTCTCTTTTATATGTTACAGGTTTCTCTCTGGGTTCCACAGTGCAGGCTCATACAAAAGGAATCTGGATGTGGTGTGTGCCTCATCCCCACAAGCCAGACCACACTCTAGTTCTGCTTGACACGGAGGGCCTGGGAGACATTGAGAAAGTAAGGGTTGAGGGTTCAGTTTTTAATTCAATCCCCCATCTCTGAATATTCTGCATACTGTGTAGGTTTTAAATATGCATTTGAGTTTAACTGTAATATGCCTTGTCAGTTTTTATTACACAATGTGTATCTAACTTTAGCTACCACTGATAAAAATATTCATAAGACTGAATCGTAGAAGAACAAGATGCCCAGTCCACAGAATTCAAACTACTAACAACAAACTATAATCTAAGCAAGCTATCCAGAGTTACAAAGGTACCAAATATAATAAACTCAGTGTCATGCATGAGTAACACTCATCCTACTGAGAACTTCAGTTAAGGATTTGAGTTTCAAAGACCCATAACTGTGTGTTTAAACTGAAACCTTAAAAGCAAAGTTTTTTACTTCTCTCAGCCTCAGCTTTCTGATCCATCAACTGGAATTAAATGGCGCTCTATACATTGCATGGGATTGCTTTGAATATTTAATTTAGTAAATAATTGTTCGGGTGCATAATGACTACCCAACAAGACAGCTACAATGGACTAAGCTACATACTTCATCCATTGTTCTTGACTAGCTTGGACAAAACCTATTTTCCATTTCCAGCACTAGAAGAAAGAATTAAGAGATAAAACAACCACAAGTATAATCAATCACATGCAAATCAATCTTGTTATTAAAAAGAAATATTCAAATCCACAATATATTTGAATATTAGAATACCTACAGACCTTCGCTATGATTTGAAGTTACCTGCCAATGATCATAAGAAAGTCTTGTACAAGTGTAAACCAAAAATGATTTTAAAATATTCAAAGTTCAAGTGGAATCCACAATTGTTTTTGTTTGGATATTAATCTTTCATAGGTTTTTAAGATATGTAAGGTTTATTAATCACTGGAGAAAAATTCTAATTAAGTGAGACACTTTTCTCACTGTTCACCTGAGAAACTGATGTAAGAACAAAATACACCCCTGACCGACACATGTTCTGACTTCCAGGGCGACAACCAGAATGACTGCTGGATCTTTGCCCTAGCAATACTTCTGAGCAGCAACTTTGTGTACAATAGCATGGGACCCATCAACCAGCAGGCCATGGACCAACTGCAGTATCCTTTCTGTGGTGCAGAACATCCTAGCCTGTGAATGGAGTAGAGTCAATATCAAAAGACACTCAAAATAAACCAAATGCAAGGTGTGCGTGTCCTGTATACCTACTAATAAATTGGCATGAGTCAAAACAGCAAAATCCTTGTGGGAATAGATGAGACTAATATGAGGTGAGAGAATCAGGGACCCTGTTCATCTAATCACTTTTCCTTAGCTACTCAGCTATGTGACAGAGCTGACAAAACGTATCAGATCCAAATCCTCCCCTGGCTGCGATGCGGTGGAGGACTCTGCCAACTTTGTCAGCTTCTTCCCTGACTTTGTCTGGACTCTGAGAGATATGACCCTGAAGATAGAAATAGATGGACAGTTACTCACAGCAGATCAGTACCTGGAGAATTCCTTGAAGCTCAATGAAGGTACCATGAT